AGAGCCCTATCGGTTTGCCGAATGTGCCGTGCTCTGTAGTCTCATATGAATTGGTATGCGCAATGTGAGTTAACCCCAATAGGATGGGCTTACCTCGTTCGAGGAACCAAGAAAATTCCATTCAGGCAAATCACAAACCTCGAGTGGCATAGAAAAGGCTTTGGGTGAAAATAACAATAGCTTAGATGTCTTTAATGTGGTGAAATCACTCATGAAAGGTAACTCGATGTAAATGTTTTACTTAGAGTTTGTGTGTGCAAGTCCTTCAGACCCCGTAGTTGGTTGTTCGACATAAAAGTGGTTACAATTCCAGCTTTTCAATCAGAATGTCAACCGAACACACATCTGTTACGACTTAGTAGTCTTCGCCAGTGTCCGCTTGTACCGCAACAAAGGTGCAGCTGCTGAAGTGGAAGTACTGAATGGGACATGTTGTTGCTGTGAGGTAATTTCTTAAAGGAAAAGAAGAAATAAAGAAAAGAAAAGCGTCAGCTGGTCCATTAGGTTGGGGGTTGGAAAGAGGATGCCTCCTTATTCTTTAAAACGGACTCCTTGTAGCCCAACGCCAAACCCACTGCCTTGCGGTCAGGTTTTTGAACCAAAGGCTTTGATTCAGAACCCTAGTCGTTCTCCCGTCTAGGCCTGGGCAACCTGACAGTATCCTGCCCACGCAATACTATGAACCTTACGTCAAACAAATTCCTGATGCTCTGGCCACCGCAGAGGATAACCAACGGTGCCCTATTTGCTGCATCGAGCGGGGTGGATAGGGGTTCGGATGCTACTGCTCAAGCCTTCCTGTCTTCTTATCCCCCCTACGCTTTTTCTCCCTTATGGTCCCGTTCCAACTTCACTTTTACCCACAGCTTTTAACCCCCGATTCTTCACCCCTCTCCAACATGCTTTGCTAGGCGTTTATCTCCCAGTTTCAACCCATATGCAAACGCGGAGTGTCATTCCTGCCCTGTCGACAAGCCCGTGTCCAACCAAGCAGTCCACAACTGCTCATCGGCTTCCATTTGGAGCCCTCGATCCTCCTTCAGATTGGCATGCATCAATGTACGCGAACTGTTACAGATCATTCAACAGGCAACACTTGCGTGAAGTTTAGAGACCCTCTCGGTCCATATCTGCTGCCTATCGGAGACCCGCCTGCAAGAGTCTAGCTCTGCGCTCACTCTGCGATCCCTTACAGGTGACGCAAGCAGTATTTTCTCATTGTGCCTATCCGGTGACGATGCAGCTTCGAGCACCGGCTTGCCGGTGTTGGCATTGCCGTTAGTCCCCGAGCCGAAGCTGCTCTGGTTGATTGGATTCCAATCAGTAGCCGAATGTGTACAGTCCGATTGGCTGGCTCGTACAAAGCTTTGAAGTCGCGCGGGACTAATAGGTGTCTATTCATCATCACTGCCTACGCACCCACAAACAGTAGCGATGACTCGGTAAAAAGCGACTTCTACCACCAACTTACCGAGCTCCTTCGCCACAGAAGAAGCACGGACACTGTTGTGCTGGCGGGGGATCTGAACGCACAAATTGGAAAGTTGTCCACTGATGAAATGCATCTGGGAGATCAAAACGGTGTTGGCTCCCGAAATTATAACGGTGAGCGGTTACTTCAGTGGTGTGAAGATGCCCGCTTATTTCTTGAGAGCACTAACCTCCGACACAGCACCCGCCGGAGGGTGACTTGGCGCCCACCAGCCTCGAACCAGCCATGGGCACAAATCGATCACATTGCAATCAGTTACCGCTGGAGATGCTGCATCCAGAACTGTCGCTAGATTTGGAGCACATGTGTGGACACCGATCATGCACTTGTATGTGCTGACCTGCGGATGCGTCTTCGCGGACGCCCAAAACGACGCTGCGAGCGCATCGACACCAGCCAACTGACAAAGCCAGCTGTTCTGAATGCATATCAAAGTACGTTGACATGCGAGTTGAGTAAGCGCTCACTGGAGACAATTGATGGTCACTGGTCACATGTTCGTCAGACCTTACTAGCAGCAGGTAAATCCTCATGTGGTAGATCTAATCGACAACATAAATATTGGGTCTCTTCGCGGTCTCTGGAACTTGTCGATGCTCGCAGGCATATCCCGGCTGGAAGCGAACACAATGAAACTCGCAAAGAGCTCCGGGAAAAACTCCATGCTAACCTGAAAAGAGACCGCGAATCCTGGTGGTCTCAACGTGCGTCAGAGATGGAAGTAACCGCTGCCCTTGGAAACCATCGAAAGTTATTCTGTCTGATACGGGAAACAGGCAGCAGGAGACCTAGTGTTAGTGAAACCATACGTGACGAGAGTGGACAGCCTATCCACAATTTGTCAAAATGTTTCGAGCGTTGGGCTGAGCATTTTGAAAAGCAATCTAATCGGTTAGAATTGTTAGACACTTCGCCGGCCAGTGATCGCCCTGCTCCGTGGGCTGTCCCTTTGGATCCACCCACTCGCTCAGAAGTCAAACGTGAGATCGGACTGTTGAAGTTGAACAAAGCCGCGGGACCAGATGATCTACCTCCAGCAACATTCAAATTCGGAGACTGCTCTTGTTGAGGCTTTACATGAATTACTAGTGAAGTTGTGGAAGCAGGAGACTGTCCCAACCGAGTGGAGTCCCCCCGTTATTGTTCCCATCTTCAAAGGTTATTCGCGCTCGGAATGCGGCAACCATAGAGGAATCAGCCTGACCCACATCGCCTCCATAATTCTTCACAGACTGACTGGCGCTCGTGAAAGCCAGATTCGTGAGGAGCAAGCCGGGGTCGTGGCCGCATCGACCACATCTTCACCTTGCCTCAGTTGTTGGAGCACCGTCACACATATTGGCGGCCCACGGTAATCGTGTTCCTCAACATCAAAAGTGCCTTCGATTCGGTTGATCGATGTGCCCTTTGGAATTGTCTATTCAGGAAAGGTGTGCCCAAGAAATATGTAAATATTATCTAAGCATTATACGCAGGTAGCACGGGCCGAGTGAGGGTTTACGGCAAGCTGTCGCCACCCTACAATATCTCCAGCGGTGTGAGACAAGGATGCCCGCTGTCACCTTTCCTATACAACTTCGCTGTTGACGAAGTCATGGAGATTGCATTTACAGGACATGACCTACAAGGTGTGGAGCTACTCCCAGGAGAACGACTTCTTGACTTCAAGTATGCAGACGACATTGCCCTCATCTGTGATAGCTCCCAGACGTGCCAAGCCGCGCTGGACAGATTAGCACTGGCTGTCAGCCGCTTCGGACTTTGTTTTATACCCTCCAAATGCAAAGCGTTTCTCCAAGATTGGCAGGGATCGTCTCCTGCGTTGACCCTTGGTGGGGATCAGCTAGAAGTCCTTCAAAAATTCAACCACCTGGGAAGTTGTATTAGCGACCTTAGGATCGAAAACGAGATCACGAACAGTATAGCGAAAGCTCGAAGTGCTTTTGCTAACCTTCGCCACCTATGGCGCCGGCGCGACATCACCCTCGCCCTGAAGGGTAGAGTGTACAATGCAGCAGTACGTTCGATCTTACTGTACGGTTGCGAAATCTGGCCCCTAAGATCAGCGGACATGAAGAGGCTAGTTACGTTCGACCATCGTTGCCTTCGCAATTTGGCTCACATCTGGTGGGAACACCGCGTGAGTAACGAGCGTGTTCGACGCCTTGTTTATGGCACAGGAAAAGGAACTGAACCGCTCAGCACGGTTATTTCACGCACCAGGCCCCGATGGATGGGCCACGTGTTGCGCATGCCAGCCCACCGATACGCGACATGCGTTGTTTGCGCGCAGGGGGTATGGATGGAAGAGGGGTGGCCAAGCGATGAATTGGTGGAGAGAAATGAAGGCCTTCAGTTCGGAGCTGACTTCGGTTGGAGCTTCACGGCTCCCTGGTTAGGGTCCAAAAAACGATGAACACGTCTGGCTAGATACACTTGCTGACATGGCTAGAAGCCGACCTCAGTGGCGTTCCATCTGTGAGTTTCTTTGTCCCTCCCCATCCCTGTTAGCCACCCCCTCCAACCATGATCTCATTTCGTAGTATAATATAAGTTTACATCAAAAGTTTTCTTGTTTCCTAGTAGCCGGCAGGTAGCTTTCCGGAAAGATGTCCCTCCATTGCTGGTAGCTCAGCTGCCATGCAACTGTTGTATTTATGTTCTTTCTTCGTTTGCATATAGCGGCAGAGTAGCTGAGGTGTTTTACACCTCTAGCTAACGTGTAGAATAATGATGACCGACGCTTCGCTGCCGAGCAACTACCACCGGTAGCTCGTGGGCTAAGGATACTGCGGGAATCGCCCTGCACCTACGCAGACTCGAACCAGCGCCGGCATCTTAAGGAGTTGGTCCTAGTTGCAAGTGATAAAGATGTACATGCAAGACAGTTTTCCGTTCTAATTCAAAAGTTATCCAGAAACTTGCATGCACACTGCTCGTGTGAGTTACCAAGTATATGAGCCCCTGCCGCGACGAACAAAAGACCAATATGTTATCCACATAGCGCTTGTTTTAAGGCACCTTGTTTGTCCTTGACGTGGAGAAATCGATGCCTGCGTGGCCTAGTGGGCTATCCTTTGCTGGTAAACCGATTTCGCGGTACGTTGGTTGAGACGGCTCACTAAGCATCGTGCCGTGGAATTCTTCATACTGAGACCGAATGCATAACCGATTAAAGGTGGCCGATCCCGTGATCCCCATCCAGGAAAAGTGAATGTATATGCGCGACCAAGTTTTTCGACACTTCAAGAAGATTTGGTTTGGATAGATAGTGCCGCGCATGTGTTTTAGTAGAGGATTAAACGTCACATAAAGCAACTGGATTCAACAATAGTCGATAGTGGCCACATTAGTCCGTAAATTCTGCTCTTCGACAACGTTGGGTACATGCTAGCAATGGGCATGTAAGTGCAAGTCATCCACGTGGGAAGCCGTGACTGCTGAGCATATCAGCAATTAGTGGAAGTAAAAATATACATGACATCAAAAGTCATGTACAGAAACTCACCCGCAAGTCGACGTTCCTTGGAGAGCTGGTTGAGTTTAGAATACAGGGCACTTTGAGCGCATTGTGCTGTGCGCAAACGGTACTCCAACAACTTCATTTCAATACGGGATACCTCCCGTTTCGTTTCCTGAAGATGAAAGAAAAAGAAGAAACTTGCACGATTGATGCTGGAAAAGAACGCAATGTGTTACAAATAAAATAAAAGTAAGCGGATAGGCGAAACGTATCTAACGTGAAAATGGAAATGTAGCTGTCTGTATGGAAAGGCAGTAATACACCATGGAAACTTATTGCCAAAAGCACCAGAGCTTGTTGTGTAAATGAGAGGTGCCAATGGGCCCCGGTAACACGCCCGACAGGCCGATTTAGGAAGTGCAGACTGTGAATGGAGTACCTAGAGGTTGATGGAATGCATTTAGTTAGGGCAGTAGTGAGAGAAATCGGTTACTGCACAGGAGAATCGGAAGAAGCGCCAATTTTCTGACAACTCGTATGGGTGGCAAGGCAGAGGAACGGACTACGCTGAACTGCATGCCAGAAGAGTTTCGGTACGAATGCGTCAACACTGCTACACAGCAATAACGAGGTAAAGTAGCCTTAAAAAATACTCGGCAACTGGAAGTTAAAAAGAGTGAAGCTCAGAGCGAATTGAATTTCAGTTAAACAACAACTATGATCTGGCCACAGAAGTGTGGTGGATCCAGTTGTCACATACTTGCGTCATTAGCATAAAAATAGGTAAAAACAATAGGAAAAAGGAGCTAAACGCAAGAGAATAACAAGGGATGAAAATTGATAGCTAGATGTAAGAAACCGAATACAGGAGCGCCACCCACTGTGCGACGGCACCATGTCTGATGGTCTTCAACCACTAGTGGAGACAATCCATGAAGACGGCATGCATTAGCCTGACCAAGTCTCTCAGTCAATTTCTTCACGTACTTATGCCACGCCGTCGACTTGTCACATCAAGGTTTCATCCACCTAAGTGCAGCGACGGTGTATAATGCACACCGAGAAATTCTATCAAAGCACATGCGGAGGACATGAGCTAGCGAACGTAAACAGTTGAACTTCAGCAAACAAACCAGTGAGGCACCAGAAGGTAGCTTGCCAAAAACCAGCTGGCAGATTACAGCATTGATCACTCGGTGTTTCCACCAAATGTGAGCAACACTCCGCAAGCATCCGTGATCAAACACGCCCAAGTGCTTAATGTCTTCACTGCGAGTTGACCAGGTTTCTGATCCATGCAGTAAAACCGGCCTTATCATAGCGTTACACACCCTAAGTTTCTCTCAGAGACTGATCTCCAGCCGTCCTCATAAATGGTTGAGCCACACTGGATCTGCTGACACGTAAAGTTTCCTCATCAGTGATGTGATAACCAGAAGTGACACGTCTACCAAAGTAAGTGAACCAATCCACCACTTCTAGAGTCTCCTCGCTGATAGCTAAAACCGGTGGCCTGTCGGTCTATTCTTGTAACAATACTTCGCAATATGAGGGTGTAAAACATGTCGAGGCGTGCAGCGATACGCGCCAGTCTAGTTAGTAGAGCTTGCATAGCCATTGCATCAGACCCAAGGAGAGCCATGTCGTCCGCATACTCAAGGTCTGTTAGTCGGTCACCTGGTGACATTTCCACTCCAGAAGAGCCTAAAAGAGCGGAGTTATTTGATCAAAAGGTCGAAGAGAAAAAGAGGTATAGGACAACTCTAGCGAAACCCACTTGCCTTGGCGAACCCAAGAAACAACTTGAACAGCTACACACGAATTCTTTGGCTCCATAGCTTGACCCACAAGGCAGTGGGGAGCAACTCCGGGTTGGGAATGTGATCTCAAAGATCATTAGGATTTGTTTGAGACCAACCAAATACAGTCTTTGAAGATTTAGTACGATTCACATGTTTTTCGACCGTAGCATGTTATGCATCTTCGACCATGGGCAGCCGCAGGTGAAAGTTTGCGAATTTTTACCAATGTGACCAGGAGCTTCCTGTGATGAGGAGGGCAGTAGCAAACCATATAGAAACCAGTGGTGCTTTCCCACCGTCACTAATGCTCTACGCCAACCGACCTGTGAGCATATAACCCGTCGCCTGTTGTCTCCCATGGTTAACTATTAAAGGGAGAGGACTATCGAACTATCTGACATTGCCCTTACCTGTGACAGATTTCAAACCTACCAAGTGACACTGGACAAAGTAGCGCTGGCTGTCAGTCGTTGTGGACTATGCTTTGCATCCTCAAAATGCAAAGTTCTCCAAGATTGGTGGGGACCCACTTCTGCGTTGATCCTTGGTGGGGATCAGCTAAAAGTCGTCGGGAAAATCAAGTATCTAGGCCGCTATATCAGCGTCAATGAAACGGAAGACAAGATCACAAACCGCATAGCAAATGCTCGAGGCGCTTTGCCAATCTCCGCTATCTGTGGCGCCTGCGCTCTGGAGAGCAGAACTTACAATGCAGCCGTCGTTCAACGCTACTGTATGGTTGCGAAAACTGACCCATCAAGTCGACAGACATAAAGAGGCTACCTAGGTTCGATCATCGCTGCCTTCGTAGCTTAGCTCATGTCTGATGGGCGCATAGAGTGAGTAATGATCATCATCATCATCATCATCATCATCATCATCATCATACACGTTAGCTAGAGGTGGGGAACACCTCAGCTACTGTGCCGCAATACATAGAAAAAAGGAGAAAAAAAGAGTGAGTAATGAGCGTGTTCGACGTCGTGTATTTCGTGCAGGAAGAGCGAGTGAACTGCTCAGCACTATTATATTACGCACCGGGTTCCGATGACTCGTCCACGTGTTGCGAATGGGTCCAGATGTTGCAAGATACAGCGTTTGTAAACTCTCCAGTGTTGGATTGAAGAGTATGTTGAGCACCATGCGCCTATGCCGGTTAAACAATGTCATTCATATGCTTGTCGATCACCCACCCAGTGGCATTGTAGGTCATTGCCGGGTCTATCCCTACTCTAGCGAGGTGAATCGTGGCAACTGGATTTACCGTGGGTCCAGTTGTTCAACTAAACTGAACCGAACTATCCGGATGAAACCGCACGCTGAGTAACCAGTGGCGCAGCCAGGGTAGTGATCGAGAGACTTGACTGGGATGGTATGTGCCGCCTTCCTGGTTGTATCTAGGGATCAGGCCCATTGACAGCTGAAGGACTTGTTTGAAATGGTGCCGGAAATGGCACCAGTGTAATCACTCTATTGCGGTTAGTCATTAACTAACAGATCACCATTGGTTGATAATTTACCGGTTTCTTTGTTGTTTGATTTTGCTATCGCTCCTTGATCTGCTGTATCATAGCGACCGGATCATTGTTGTCTATGGAGGCTGATTCGAATGGATATGAGAAAAAATGAAGACTGGCGGTAGCTTAATTTCACTTATCTGCCGTCGGATGTAGGACAAACAATGTAGGCTTTTTGAAATTGCATGATAGACTCTGAAGCATAGTGCACTTGTTAGTACCGCGCGATCTATCATTGGTTGAGGTACATTCAAGGACAATCGGCCGGTGTCTGATTGGTGTGAGGCATCTGCCCGTTCGAGTCTGAGTGGGTGCAGGAAACCTCGGTATCCCCAGCCCGCGCGCGACTGGTAGTGGTCGCGTGGAAGTAAGGCGTCGATGCGGCGTATTGCTGATGCTCTATTGATTTTCAATGACAAAACATGAATAGTGTAAAAAAGGTGGCTCTCGATCAAATCTAAGAAACGAAGTCTGGCCAAAATGCATCATAGGTGTAGCGGCGCATTGAAATCAGAAAATCATCTGTAAAAAACCGCGTTAATTCCTACCAATAATATATATGACGAAGGGATCATCATCATTATACAATCAGCTAGAGGTGGGAACACTTCAGCTACTGTGCCGCAATACATAGAAAAAAAGAGAGAAAAAATGCAACTGGTGCAAGCTGGCTGAGCTACCGGTAACGGATGGGCATCCTTCCGGTAAGCTACCAGCCGGTTGCCGTGCACCAAAAAATATTACTATGCAAATTATATAAGGCTAACTAATGAGATCGTGATAGGAGGGGGAGGCTAAGAGGGATGGGGTGGGACAAAGAAACTCCCAGCACGAACGCCACTGAGGTCGGCTCCTAGCCATATCAGCAAGTGTGTCCAACCAAACGTGATCATCGTCCTTTGGACCCCAACCAGGGAGCCCAGACGCTTCAACCGAGGCAGCTCAGAAGTGAAGGCCTTCATTCCTCTCGACCAAATCATCGCTTGGCCACCCCGCCTCTTCTTCCATCCACACCCCCGACGCGCAAACAACACACGTCACGGGAGTCGGTGGGCTGGCATGCGTAACATGTGGCCGAGCCATCGGAGCCTGATGCGTGAAATGACGGTGCTGAGCGGTTCAGTTCCTTTTCCTGTACCATAAACAAGGCGTCGAACACGCTCGTTGCTCATGCGGTGTTCCCACCAGATGTGAGCTAAATTACGAAGGCACCGGTTGTCGAACGTAACTAGCCTCTTCAGGTCCGCAGCTTTAAGCGGCCAGGTTTCACAACCGTACAGTAGGGTCGAACGTACTGCTGCATTGTACACTTTACCTTTCAGGGCAAGAGTGATGTCGCGTCGGCGCTATATGTGGCGAAGGTTAGCAAAAGCGCCCCGAGCTTTTGCTATACGGTTCCTGAACTCATCCTCAATCCCACGGGCGCTGATACAACTTCCCAGGTAGTTGAATTTTTGAACGACTTCTAGCTGATCCCCACCAACGGTCAGCGTAGGAGGCGGTTCAGACCAATCCTGGAGGAACGCTTTGCACTTCGACGGTGCGAAGCAAAGCCCAAAGTGACGGACAGCTAGTGCTAATCTGTCCAATTCCGCTTGGCACGTTTGTGAGCTGTCACAGATTAGGACAATATCATCCGCATACTCTAAGTCAAAAAGTCGTTCTCCTGGGAGCAGATCCACACCTTCTAAGTCGTGTCCTGTGAACGCGATTTCCATGACTTCGTCAACAGCGAAGTTGAAGAGGAAAGGTGACAGCGGGCCTCCTTGTCTCACGCCGCTGGAGATATTAAAGGGCGACGACAACTTGCCGTAAGCCTTCACTCTGCCCGAGCTACGCGCATATAATGCTCGGATAGTCACATATTTCTCAAGTACACCTTTCCTGAGAGTGCATGTCGATCCACCGAATCGAATGCACCTTTGATATCGAGGAACACGACAACGGAGGGCCGCCAACATATGTGACGGTGCTCCAACAACTGACGCAAAGTGAAGATGTGGTCAATGCAGCCACGACCCCGACGAAACCCGGCTTGCTCTTCACGAATCTGGCTTTCACGAGTGCCAGTCAGTCTGTGAAGGATGACAGAGGCAAGCAATTTGGAGGCGATGGAGATCAGACTGATTCCTCTATGGCTGCCGCATTCCGATCGTGAGCCTCCCTTGAAAATTGGGACTATGACGGAGCGGCTCCAATCGGTTGGGACAGTCTCATGCTCTCACAGTTTCACTAGTACCTCGTGTAAATCATCCACAAGAGCAGGTCCCCCGAATTTGAGGAGGACTGGACGAAGATCATCTGGTCCCGCGGCTTTATTTAACTTCAACAGTTCGATCTCACGTTCGACTTCTTATTGAGAGGGTGGGTCCAAAGGGACAGCCCACGGAGCAGGGCGATCACTGATCGGCGAGAAATCGAACAATTCCGACCGATTAAATTGTCTTTCAAAGTGCTCAGCCCAACGTTCCAAGCGTTTTGATAAGTTGTGTATAGGCTGTCCACTCGTCACGTATAGTTTCGCTAACACCAGGTCTCCTGCTGCCCGTTTCCCGTATCAGATGGAATAATTTACGATGGTTACCAAGAGCAGCGGTTACTTCCATCTCTGTTGCACGATTAGAACACCAGGATTCGTGGTCTATCTTCAGGTTAACACGGAGTTTCGCCCGGAGCTCTTTGCGAGTTTCATTGTGTTCGCTTCCAGCCGGAATATGCCGGCGATCATCTATAAGTTCCAGAGACTGTGAAGAGACCCAATGTCCATGTTGGTGATTAGACATACCACATGAGGATTTGCCTGCTGCTAGTAAGGTATGGTGAATATGAGACCAGTGAGCATCAATTGCATCCAATGAGCGTTTATCCAACTCGCATGACAGCGTACTTTGATACGCATTCAGAACAGCTGGCTTCGCCAGTTGGCCGGTGTCAATGCGCTCACAACATCGTCGTGGGCGTCCGCCAAAGCGCATCCGCAGGTCAGCACATACAAGTGCATGGTCGGTGTCCACACCTGTGCTCCAAATCGAGCGACAGTTCTGGACGCAGCCTCTCCATCGGTAACTTATCGCAACGTGATCGATTTGCGTCCATAGCTGGTTCGAGGCTGGTGGACGCCAACTCACTCTCCGCCTGGTACTGTGTCGGAAATCAGTGCTCACAATAAACAAGCGAGTATCCTCACACAAATGAAGTAACCGCTCACCGTTATCATTACGGGAGCCTATACCATGTTGGCCGCCCAGATGCAGCTCATCTGTGGATAATTTTCCAACTTGAGCGTTCAGATCCGCGGCCAGCATTACAGTGTCCGAGCTTCTTCTGTGGCTGAGGAGTTCGTTTAGTTGACGATAGAAGTCGTCTTTTACCGAGTCATCGCTACAGTTTGTCGGTGCATAGGCAGCGATAACGAATAGACACCTGTTAGTCCCACGCGACTTCGAAGTTTTGAACGAGCCAGTCAATCGGACCGCACACAATCGGCTACTGATTGGAATCCAATCAACCAGAGCAGCTTCAGCCCATGCACTCAAGGCAATGCCAACATCAGCTTGGTCGGAGCTCGAAGATGCATCGTCACCGGATAGGCGCAATGAGAAAATACTGCTGGTGTCACCTGAAGGGGATCGCAGAGTGAGCACAGAGCTCAAGTCTTGCAGGCGGGTCTCCGATAAGCAGCAGATATCGATCGAGAGGGTCTCTAATGTTTGGGCAAGTGCACCTGTTGACCGATCTGAAGCAACGTGCGAACATTGAGGCATGCCAGTCTGAAGGAGGATCGAGGACTCCAAATGGAAGCCGATGAACTGGAATGGGCCGCTTGCTTGGACATGGGCCAGTTGACAGCGCAGGAATGACGCTCCGCGTTCACCTGTGAGTTGAAACTAAAAGACAAGTGACTATTGAAGCAAGGTGGGGGGGCCGAGAATTGGGGGGTTGAAAACAGGGGAGATAAAAGTGAAGCTGGAACGGGACGATAAGGATGAAAAAGCGCAAGGGGAATAAGAAGATGGGAAGGTTTGAGCAGTAGCATCCAAACCCCTATCCACCCTGCCCGATGCAGCAGATAGGGCACCGTCGATTATCCTCTGCGGTTGCCAGAGCATCAGAAATTTGTTTGAAGTGCGATTCATTGTATTGCGTGGGCAGGATACTGTCAGGTTGCCCAGGCCTAGACAGGAGAACGATTAGGGTTCTCAACCAAAGCCTTTGGTTCAAAAACCTGTCCGCAAAGCAGCGGGTTTGGCATTGGGCTACAAGGAGTCCGTTTTAACGAATAAGGAGCCACCTCATTCCAACTCCAAACCTGGAGGACCAGGAGGCTGAGTTCGTCTGACCTCTAACCATTTACCAATCTGGTATGAGTGGCTCAGATGGTGCAAAAGCACCACCTAGTATAGCTCAATGGATCAATGAGGCACACAAACCATCGCACCACGGTAAGGTCCAGCCTCATTGCGATGGACCAGCCTCGTTGCGACTGAGGGGAGGTGTTTGCTGAATACGATACCTTCGCTGAAGCGTGATGACCAGAGTTGTTCAGTTCAAGTCAGTGAGCGAATTATGACCTAAACACTGGGGTACGGTAGACGCGGTTGTAATGATTTGCCTTGCAGTGAAAATAAGAATAAACAATGGCGTGGGAAAATGAAGGAAGTGCAAATTTACAAAAACAGTACTAAAATTAGACAGTGGAGCTAGAAATAATCAGGTGACAAGGGTGACTGCAGGATGTACAAGTCCAAAAACCAGACCGTCACTGGTTCAGCGTTGCTGTTATGTCCGAAAAGTGCATGAGCGCTGATGGAATAGTTACGAGATCATTTCGAAGGAAACGGCACGCATCAGTTAAGTTTCGTGTACATCGCTATCAAGTCATCTGTAGGCCGGCTGTGCTTCTCAAACGACAGGATGCAATGTGTGAACATAAAACGCACCGAAGAAAGTGACTAACACGTAGATTAAAGATGTGATTAAGCAACGCAGACCAAACAAGTGTACGAAAGCAGCATAGTGATGCACCAGGACTTTGCCAATAAATTACAAGTGGTAGATATAAGAAGGACTCAGCCGGTAGTTTCGAGAGATATGATAACGATACGCAGGACGTGGTGGTCTTAGATTTAGACAGGAACGCAAACGTTGTACACTCTAACTTTGTTTGACAAGCTAATACCACGCGACCAGGATCAGCCAGGTTGTATAAGGATAAACAGATCGTAGGGATGCGCTGCGACATTTATAGTGGTTTGATAGCCCGAGGCATCAGGTTGTTTAACCGTACACAGTAATTACAATCAGAATATTGAGATATACAAAACACGTATGATTTCTGACCGTTGATTGATTTAGTGTGAATAGCTACCGTTAAACAAACGAAGTATCGTGCATCACAACACAAGAGAAAGTGATATGGTCAAGTAAATCTTGACACCCCATTGGTTTATAGCGTAGTGGACACCGCGATTACAAGTCCCCTCAATGTTAATTACCCTGCCCAAACACAATAACTATGTTTCCCCATTTCTTCATGAAACCAAATCTCCAAACTCGCTCCATCCTACGCTCCTTAACATGTTTATTATCTCGCATTTCCATGAGGCTCACTTGCGCCTATATCTATGCTTCACATCAATTATGACTGTATGTGAACCGTTTGTTTCACAAAATTTATGCTGGCCTGTTCACCTTTTGTTCTCCGACTGATCATGGTTGTTTGCTCACTCCAGCATCTGCGTCTGTGCATCTGTGACTCATTTGGTGAACGGTCCAAACAGAGTGACTTCATTGCACCCTACAGCTCATGCAGCCCTCGTTCCATTCGATTGATCCACCAATCCTATTCGTCCATCGGCCCTATGAACACACCGAGCACTTTAGTGCCGTCACTTCGTACCTCGGTCACTCTGAAGCTAAGCCTGTTGGCTATCGGACCGAAATGTTGGTCAATGTAGCTGCTTTGGGCTTGGGAGCGTTGTGGTATGTAATGTAAATGCTCACCTATTCATTTGTAAATAGTACCATTATCCAGTTTGGGATTTGTTGTCCATTTGATCCCGGTGGAAACGCATCACTTCATGGGAATTTTGTCGCTTACATATATGGTCGATGTGAGATAGAAACAAGTATCAAAGGGATAGGAAGCGCCAATTCAGCCCGTAGATTTTGACATACAAGAATGACAGCAATGTGCCAATAGTGAAGGCCTGATGTGCCAGAGGGAAGTGCAAGCCATTAGCCAGCCATGTGACTTACCGTGGCTAAAATCTCGGACAAAGAGGTTTTCAACCGTAGCATCATCTCCGTCTCAGACTTCATAAGATGCAACTGAGCTTTTGCGAATTCGGAGAAGAGTATAAACCTGAAAACATGCAAACATAATCCAGATTGATGCACTTTTGTATGGTATTCCAATCGTATGAGATTCTGGGGCTTGTTTTAAAGCTTGACCACGAATGCTTCCTAAATAAAATGAATGACGAGAAGGCTTACGACAGGTGATGTCCCAGCCTCCGTCCGAAAGTATAGAGGAGAGGTGTACACTCCGTTAGCAAACTGGAAGTAAACCTGATTACTGTGTGAGCTAACTGAGTGCAAATCGTAGAACTAGACATAGGGGAACACGTGAATTGCGATCGAGACGTACCTCTGCATCCAGTAAAACTAACCCGGACAAGTGAACTTCCATCTCGAACAGCACCACAGAACCATGATGCAGAGCGGCGAAAAAGGTAAACAAAGCAGCTACAAGAGTAAAATAAAAGCCAATGATACCTTTGGAGCTTAGAATTGATTGTGGACAGTCCGATAAATCAATGGGGTCCCACACCGGATTCTTTGAAGAATAGCTTCATGCAAAATAGCAACGTACAAGAACGCTCTCGCATGTTTCGCTTAGATAAAAATCTAGCGAGCACAATGTCAACAAGTTAAACGAACGTACATCCAAAACATTCCTGGCCAATTAGACTAATAGCAAAAAAAGTACCTGAGATAGCCTCCCGATCGGCATATGTGACAGCAAATTTACATCCTCGAATCGCGTTGAGGTGTCGCAATCGGATCTCAAAAATGTAATAAAAAAGAGAGGTACCGAGATGCTTAGCGGATGCTTTGCACTAAGCATGGAGGCGGAGTTGGGTGGTGCTCATTATTTGACTAATCCACAGCGCTTGGGCTGCAAAACAACAAAAAAGACTGGTAAGCTTTCTGCAGCAAACGAAAAATGTTTGAAACCAAAAGAAAATAAGGTAGTGAACAAGCTTGTTTTCAGGATTGCAACATCAGTCTAATACAACTACTACAAAGCAGGCTAGAATGGGTACAAGAAGTTTAAACGCGGTGAGTTACTGAAGCAAAATATCAGGTCGGCAAGGCCACGTGATTTAGTTGGTTGATGTGAAGTCAGGTGGAGTGGCGTGACCGTTATGGTTAATCATGTTGTCCTGAGACCAGGGCTGCGACAGTTTGGATGTATTTTCTATAAAACCGAACTGTGATCCCCTCTGCTGTCGACAGCAGACATTTGACCGCTAGCGTGTGAGGTCTGGGTACACGGTAGATTGGGACGAATGCGTCGTGTGAACTGATTTGGTGATTGGAGTCTACTAGGTGCGACAATACTGCACCCGTTGTATTCTTTCTCATACCGCTGTAAAGTCAAGCTGGGCAATTCTCCCGAGCTCTAGCGGACAGTCACCTGGTCGTCTTCCCAATATTTCTTGCTCGACACGAGCAAGAGAAATTGTACTTACAGGGAAATCTGCGGCCAAGGTATCCTAACTTTGAGTCATTGGCGCACAATCTGAGTTGGGGTGAATACAAGTAAATAGGCAGCGAAATACGTTCTCCCAGTTACTATGGATAACGTTCGGGTTCTGTTCCGCTATCGCGTCACCCTTATAAACCGCTTCTCTGCAGAAACGGTTTTCAACTTTGGTACTAGTGGTTCCATGTGACTAAGCATGCATTTTCGGGGTATCTATTAAGCTTCGGATAAAACTCAGCTTATCCGAAAACGTATTATCCGCACATATCCTCCTCGCTCTCTTCGTAAGGCAACGGACGAAATTTCCTTTCTGACTTATCGGAACAAAGTTAGCGAAGTGCAGATATTATCCATGCCAAGTTTCCTTTCTCTGTACTCTTAACAATCAATCAACAACAACAACAACAGTACATCAGCCATGTGAACTGATGCTTCGCTGCCATACAACCATGATAACCTATGGAATAAAGAATAATAATAGGAAGAGAATAGGGACTGACCTGAAAACCTTAATGCCCTAAGCAAACATTCAGGATCAAGGCGCCTACATCTTGTGTAGACAACATACCATCACAAACAGCTCGTTATCGTGCAAAGATAAAGCGGCATCGGTGAGACAGCTTTCTTGCGGCTTTCACTGCCTCGGGTCATAATTAGCCATTACCCCGCAGTCAAACACAGTGTAAACAGGCAATGCAACTAAAAGACGGCAGCAGACGCGCTACTGGTGTCGGTTGTGAGCCACGTCCTGTAAGTTATCAAGCCAAGCATAAAGCGAGTCACGTGGGTTCCAGCCCGGAAGGCGACACGGACCAACGACACCCAGTTTGGTCGTCGGTGACTTCACTCCCCGCTTCAAAGTCAACTTCTGTCCACCTTGAGCCTTGTGCCACCCTATATCTGGCAGATTAAACAAGGCTCACCTAAGTAAGCGGTGATCAGGCATACGAAGCACGTGCACAAGCCAACGCAACTTATTCACTGCTATCTGTTGTTCTAGGGAGCTAGCATGATTATCACCACCTAATACTCGCCTACGCACATCATCGTTGCGGACACGCTGATGCCATCCGACACCAGCAATGCTTCACCGATAACGATGATCAAGGACTTGAAGGCGCCTCAGATCTTCAGACCGAAGGGGCCAAGTCTCACTACAATAGAGCAGGACGGTCCTCACTGTGGTCTTGTATACATGGCCTTTCAAACGCAGGGAAACTCCCTTCTGTCACCAAAGATGCCGCAGGTTAAAGAAGGCAGTTCTGCCTTTGCAATGCATGAACTGACTTCAGTTTCTCTGCGCCCATCATTGCTGACGCAGCTGCCAAAATAAGTGAATTGATCAACCAACTCGAGTTCCTCATTAGCAAGTGGCTGGTGGTCCTGCAGCAACACTTTGCACTTTGAAGGTGCGAAGTGCATACCAAATAATGAGACCACTCTAGACAGGCTATTCAGGGTTGATTGTGCCGCCTCAACATTGTCGAAAAGCAAGACGATATCGTCCGCATAATCTAGATCAACTAACCTTTCACCAGGCAGCAACACAACACATACATCGTGAGATTCCGCAAGGGAATACTCCATGACAGAGTGCACGACCAAATTGAACAAAAACGGGAAAATCGGACAACTCTGATGAACGCCATTTGTGGTCGGAAGGCTATCGGACAGGTCACCGCAGACCCTGACACGGTCCGTAATGTTCGAGTATAGAGCACGTAGGATGTGCGCATATTTCGCGGGAACACCTTTCTGCGCAAGTATTTCGAAACGAATGGATCAATCAACTAAATTGAACGCACTCTTGAAATCGAAGAACACAGCTACTGTTGGTCTGCCGTATGTGTGGTGCTGCTCTAGCACCTGCCGCCAAGTGAATATATAGTCTATACAGCCACGTACAGAGCGGAAACCTGTCTGCTCTTCCCTAATCCGAGATTCCCGCTTCACAATGAGGCGACGAACGAGAAGCGAGGCCAGTAATTTTGTCACAACTGGCGTTAGGCTAATACCCCTGTAGTTAGCAACGTCCGTGAGACTGCTCTTATTGTATATGGCCACTATAATCGATTCGCTCCAATTAGCCGGGACACTTCCTTCCAGATACTTTCGAGTAGGGAGATCAGTGCTTTGCAGAAGACCTCCACTCCATCCTTAAACAATGCAGGTGGGAGGGAATCCGGGCCAGCGGCACGAAAACGATTAAAGACTGTGATCGCGTTTCGGATCTCGGCCTCCGACGGAGGCTCTAAACTAACCGTCCATGGTTCGTCCCGCATCACCTGAGTAGGAAGAGGTCCGGGAGAAGGGAGCCAGCTGAACTGATCTTCAAAGTGTTCCGCCCAATGAGCAATATGGCGCTCCTTATTGTGTACCAGTGCGCCCGCGCTGTCTCTGATTGTCTCATTGACGCCTGGTTTCCTGGGACCAGTGGTGTGGATCAGCTGGAAGAGCTTACAATAATTGCCTATTGCTCTTGCCTCCAACATTTCTTGAGCCCTACTAGTCCACAAGGCTTCCTTGTCAGCACGCAGGCTCTGCTTTAGTTCAAGCCTAATAGCCCGTCTGGTCACATTATGCTCAGAGCCAGTCGGGAGGTTTCTTCTGGATTCCAACAGGTTCACCGCCCTCTCGGACATCGAGTGACTGGTGCGGTGACCAGTGATAGTGCCACAAGCAGATGCTCTTGCGTCGTGCATGGAGGCCGAAATCCTATTCCACTGAAGCTCAGCGTCATTAAGACAAGACAGCGGAAGTTCGGTATGCAGTGCTTCTTGATAGGCTTGCCTGACCGAGGGGCTGAGAGTTTCTCAGTTGCCAACCGGGGGAGACGCTTAGTGCACCTACCAGTAAAGTTCGTGGAGAAAAGATAGTGTAACAAGGCATGATCAGAGTCGACGCAGGTATTCCAGTACGAGCGGCAATCCAGTATGGAACCACGCCGCCTGTAACTTATGGCAATGTGGTCAATTTGGGTCCATCGTCGGCCAACTACAAGGGGACGTCAAGTGGCACTTCGGAGCCCACTGTGTCTAAAAGCAGTGCTACTAAGAAACAACTGGTGCTCCGCACATAGTTGCAGCAGACACTCGCCGTTGTCAGTCCCTTCGGAGTTAATCCCATAATTACCACCCAGCTGAGCTTCAGAAGAGCTCAGACGCCCTACTTGTGCGTTCATATCCCCAACAAGTACTAGAAGATCTGAACTAGTAGCACTGCGTAGTGGCGCGCTCAGTTTGTGATAGAATGTGTCCTTGACAGCATTAGAACTGCAGTCGGTGGGAGCATAAGCGGAAATCGCAAACAAACAGAGTTTTGTACAACTTCGTGAATCAACCTTAGTTGATGTCGTCAAACGGCGGTTCACCGGAATCCAACCAACCAATGGTGGCTGTCTTGGGGCATCGAATGATACCTACACCAGCTTGACCCGTGAGTGCTACATCGGCGTATCCGGATGCATGTAACCAATAACGAGAGGACAAGCCGGACGCAGTTAATTCAACAACCCCATTAGGGTCATTGGTCCTAGTTTCGGAGACTCAACATACGTCAGTACCCAGTGTGTCCAAAGTACGTGCGAGTGCAGCCAGTTGACCTATGTCTTGGTGTGCGAAGTGCAGCGGGTCATTGACATGGAGCAAGCGACAACCTCGGGGAATTCCTGTAAGCTTTTCCTCCTGATCCGGTCTACTGGCGGCAAAAGGCCGATTGTAAACGAAGTTTTATGCGAAACCAATGGCGAGTCAATCCACTGTCAAAAACACCGACTAGAGCGTTGGGCCGACCAGTTTGAGCAACAGTTTAATTGGCCAGAAGTAACAATGAGTTCCCATTATGGAGCGCAGAGCGCTCCCTGGTGTGTAGACGCTTCACCACCATCCGAGGCTGAGGTTGCCCACCAGCTTGGCCTCTTAAAGCGCTACAAAGTTCCTGGCCCAGATAAATTTCCTCCGGCTCTTTACAAAAATGGCAGCCCATCACTAGTTCAGAAGTTAATTTCTTTCCTCCGAGAGATCTAGGTCAATGAAGTTATCCCAGCGGAAGTTATCCTAGCGGATATTGTGCCCATCTTCAAAAAAGGGACCAGAACTGACTGCGCCAACCACAGAGGGATTAGTCTCATCTGTGTTGCTTCCAATGTGCTCGCAGCTCTGCTTCTAAGGAGGCTCAGCCTGGTACGCGAAAAGAGCATACGTGAAGAGCAAGCTGGGTTCCGCTGAGGTCGGAGTTGCATCGATCACATTTTTACACTTTGCCATATACTCGAGCGTCGTTAAACATTTGGCCAACCAACGATCGTTGTGTTCTTAGACATACGAGCCGCGTTTGACTCAGTCCACAGAGCTGCTATCTGGAGTTGTCT